AGTAACTCTAGTAACTCCGGTAACCTTAGTAACTTGGCTGGAAGGACTTACCTATGCTATCACTTGTGCTACCACTCATGCTACCACTTATGCCACCCATCTTACCACCTCGGGCAAGCCCACGCGTGGAACCTGTATGTCTTCGTAATGATGGTGAGGGCGGGCTGAGCCGAAGCGCAAGATTGCGCAACATTATAAGGGAAGATCCAGGCGGGTATTTGCGAAGGGTACGCTGCGAAAGGTGAGGGTGACCGAGCTTGAATGGGGAATATCGTGGTGAGCGCTGCGATTTCCGAAGAGAAGCTCGTAATAGAGAAGCTGCAATTAAAGCACGTCGAGGTCGACCTCGAGGTCTTTTTGCTAGCTGACTATCATTAAAAGGAAGAGTATGTTTCGATCTAAAAAGAGATAGCTTAGCATTATTCCTATCTTTACAACTTTTGCAAGTAGCGAATACTTTGCTTTGATCGTCGTTCTGAAATGACAAGAGAAGCTGAAAAACATCTTTTAGCAAGCATCTGCGGTTGATACAAAGTTTCGTCTCTATATTATAATAAAAGTGGTTGTTGAGAAAGTCAAGTTGTTAATTAATCAAGGCGTTACGCGTAAAGGTATCAAAGTGACGCGACGATATATGCGGCAGAATTAATAGCGGTGGCTGAATTAAGCTTAGCTGTGTTTTATATTTAATTCGAGCCGACCCGTTCCGAAAAAAGTTCAATAGATTGACATGGAATAAAAGTCTTAGCACGCTCACAAATCTTGCCAGATCCGTATAGAATAGTCTCACGTGATTGGATGACTAACCACCACCACAACCTCAAGACCCTTAGATTACTCACCACCACCACAACCCTTGGATTACTCATCACCACCACAACTACTAGATTACTCATCACCACCACAACTACTGGATTACTCATCACCACCATAACTACTAGAATTTATCTTAGGTCACCGTTGGTGACAATAAGCGGCGCGGGTGTAAATGTAGAAGAAATGTACTACGTCGCAGGCGTAAGTATTACCATTCGAGGGTAGGGAAAACAGGGGGTTTAAAGTGGAAACTAAGGGT